ATAAATGTACAGATAATTCTTGTCACTACGTCTTCTTTCCTCTAAAAATTTGGCACAATACTTTTAATAGTATTTTTAAATAGTTTTGAAATTACTTTGATGGCCAATTCTACTATTATTAACAAACGGGCCTTTTCGTTTCTGGCAGATTGATAGCCCTCTAGCTTGAAGAATTACGACTTTAATTAACAAATTACTACTTTTTCATTATTTTTCTTACTTTAGAGGCCATTTTAGGTATTGTTTTGCTGAATTATCCATTTTCACTTTTACCCAGTCCTTTTTCCTCGAACTACTATGACAGACGCCATTTTGAACTTTTCCACGTCTTTCACCCCCCTTTTGCTGTAAATCTGGTTGCCGCCAACGGACAGTCACTTGACATTGGTTATTTCCCAGTGACATTGTTTTCCCCCTTTTTACGTCATACGACAAGTTGGAGGGCATTGGAAGCGTAAGGGGAAGTGCAAGCCCTTTTCGAGTTTCCTCGTCACCAGAGAAAACAGCATTGTTACAGGTCTGATTTTTATAATTTTTCTCTAAAAGTGTTTCTAGGTCTTAGCAAGACCCACACTGCTAGTCATCTTGTTTATTATTTTCCCCCCTTTTTAATTTAAATTTTCGTTTGTAAAGTTTTAATTCTTTAAGCTCGCAGGTCCAGCCCATAAGTTCTTGCATATTTTGACTAATAGCATACCGCTATTTATTTTTTTTTTTTTTGTACAGCGGAATTGCCTTTACGTTTCTTACACCTTAATGTGTCAATATATGCGGACGCGTCGGGAAATTGGAACAGAGAATTGAGACTAAAGTTTTTAGACAGTTTATTTAATTCATTAAAAAATTTGTAGCGCAAAGTTTCAATTGTCTGTTTTGGCGAAAAGCGTAATGGGGTTAGCTTGGTTCGAGATTCATTTTAAAAATTTCCCTTGAAAAGCTGAAATGAACTTCGAATTGGGTTAATTAACCATTTTCCGCTTCTTATTTTTTGCATTTTACCTTGTTCAATCGATTAGTATTTTACTGTGTTTTATAATTTACTTTTTATTTAGCATATAGCCTATTATTTTACCTCATTCAATTGATTTGTTTTTTTAATGTGTTAAAATTTCTTAAAATGTTTAGAATGTAGCTTTTTTATTAATTTAACTTGTAAATATACAAATATTTTTTCCATTTTCACAGCAACTGTTGTTGCTTATGTTGGAGTTTTCTTGGAGCCACAGCTCTTGGTAACTTTTTGGCGAGCTTACTAAAATTTATCTTCTAATTCCCTTAATTTTGCAGCACAATGCGCAAAATTTTGACCTAAATTGGTCTTTTTAGTTTTGTTCTTACAATCTTACTTAATAATAATAATAATAATAATAATAATATATATTCAGTACTGAAATTCAGTAATAAAATTTTTAAGAAATTTGAAAGGATTTTCTGTTCATTTAGACAGTTTATATTCTTTAAACTGCGTTTTCTTAGTTTGCATTTCTTCGATAAATTCTTTTACTTAAGGTCCTAAACTTAATTGATATGGACTAAAATATTTAATATTTTTACAGCTTATCTAAAATAATATACTTTATAGATACAAGAATGGGTTTTGCAAAATACTGAAAAGAAAAATTATTTGAAGTGAAAATGATATTGAGATCATATTTGTTTTTACATAAAAATATGTTTTTAATTTTTCTCAAAAACTAATTCATTAATTGCGAAATCGATCCTTAAGGTTATTAAGAACACTATAATAAATACAATAAGAAAACCTTGTGGAAAAACATTGAAAATTGTAGGAGAAGAAAGACATTTTAATTATTAAACATTTCTTCCAAAAATTTAAATTAAAAAAATTACTGGCAAAAAAATTTTTTCCAGCTTGAAATCATTTTGTTTTACAAAACCATTTAATAATATTCATAAAAGGTACATAAAATTTCTTAAATAAAAAATCATTCAAAAGATACCGCGTTCCCTGTTCGCGTTGAAGCCGGTATGCAGGTCTTTAGTTTTAATTTGAACGGCATTTCTGGAATACCCAGCATCAGATAACTTTGTATTTGTTTACAAATTTCCGTATTTCGTAAACTTTCATCTAATTTGTTTCGATGATATTGCATCCCCAGATATCTTTCAAAGCTATTGTTTCGCTGAATGTCCAGAGAGCAGTCAGTTACACGTCAGCCATGTTGTTTGCTAAAAGTAAGTGCGAGCGCAATCGCGCAATGCAGTATGGGAAATATCCCCATCTCACCTGCTCCGGAGAGGTAGGAACATTTAACAAAATTCTACCTCCAATTCTGAGAGGCAGTTAATGCTTGTTCGCTCTGAGAATGGAACACTTTGGAAGAACCGGTTTTCGCTGCTGGTCGAATCGGTGTATATAAGGTATTTTCGTCCTCCTTTCTGCGTGCCTTCGTGGTGCGATGGTACTTGGCGCGAATACGAGAGGTCCAGGTTCGAGTCCCGGCAAGGGCATTGCACATTTTTCACGTCTGACGTCACCTGACGTCAGAGATCACGTGATTTTGATGGCGTCATAGTTATGCATGTTCACCTGACCTCGGACATTATCACATACTCAATCTCTATTGATTCTATAAGTTACGGACTGTAAGCTGATTCTTAGACGTTTTAAAACATATTTTAGCTCTGACCAAAATTTTAAAATCGTGCATCTAACTATTCAGTGCTTAAACATTCATTTTTTTCTTTTAATTAATTATCAATTAATTTAGATTTTTGATTTTTAAATTAATTTGTTCACATCAAGTCCGTGGTTCGATTCCCGGAGAGGGCGTTGAACATTTTTCATCTCTTCTGCTTCCAATTAATCTAATGTCTCTACACTGGCATTCGAAATAAAAAGGGTGGTGGAAGATGATTCTCCACACCCAGGATTTGGCGATTAGGTCCCCTAAAACCCCAGTCGCCCTTTAAAAGGGAGAGTACATAAGGTATTTTCTTCCTCCTTTCTGCATGTCCCCGTTGTGTAACGGTAGTACACTCAACGCTTATTTGAGAAGTCCAGGTTCGAGTCCCGGTGAAGGCATTTTTCACTTTTGGTGTTTCCTTCTTTCAAAATCCTAATGAATCTACAGTGGCGCCAGAACTAAAAGGTGATGGATGAGGATTTTTCACCACGAGGATTCGGCGATTGGGTCCTCTAATACCCAGTCGCACTTTAAATAGGGGTATATAAGGTATTTTCTCCCTTCTTTCTGCGTGCCTTCGTGGTGCGATGGTAACACACTCGGCGCGAATTCGAGAGGTCGAGGTTCGAGTCCCGGCAAGGGCATTGAACATTTGTAACATTTCCTGCTTCAAAATAATCTAATGATTCTAATGTATGTCTGAAGTAATGCAGGATTTATTTAGTTCAGTTAACACCGCTGATACAAAACAAAATTTGCATAACAGTTCGCGAATTCAATGCAGCACTCATATTATCTAAAGCAGCTTGAAGAGCAAAAATAAAAATTTATTCTTTGGAAGAGAGACTTTAAAAATATAATTTTTTGTTTACTTGAAAAAAAGTTGACGCCTTGTTTATAAATCAAGTTTCTAGTTTTATTTTTGTAAAATGATAGCACTGTTTTTGCAAAATATTAGGGAATTTTAGAGGGGAAAAATTTAATTTTGAAAAAGCTTGTAGAGTCATTAGCTTATTTCGAAGCAAGAGACTTGAAAAATGAGCAACGTCTTCGCCAGGAATCGAATTGCGGACCTCTGGAATACGCGCCCAGCGTGCAGACCACTACACCACGCAGACACGCTAAGAAGGCGGGAGAAATACTTTATATACTCCCTTTTTTAGTGGGCGACTGGGGTTTTATGGGGCCCAGTTGCCAAAACCTGGGTGTGAAGAATCCTCATCCACTACCCTTTTAGTTCAGGCGCCACTGTAGAGACATTAGGTTTTTTGGAAGCAGGAAAGATAAAAAATTAGCAATTGCCATCGCCGGGAATCGAACCACGGACCTCTGGAACACTGTCCCAGTGTGCAGACCACTACATCACGAAGGCACGCTAGGAAAGCGAGAGAAATACCTTATAAGGTTATTTCGAAGCAAGAGACTTGAAAAATGAGGAACGCCTTCGCGGGGAATCGAACCGTTGTCCTCTGGAATAGGCGCCCAGCGTGCCGATACTACACCACAAAGGCACGGTAAGAAGGCGTGAGAAATGCCTTATAGGCTTTCCTTTCCTTTTTTTCTTCAAAGACTGAAGTTTTATATTAAAAGAAACAAAACAAGTTAGAGGAGATGTAATTTCTAGATATAGCGAAAAATATCTTTTACCAGTCTAAGTAAGGAAGGGAGATAAATAAGTTGCTATCTACAAAGACAGAATTTTCTTTCGTGTTGTTATTTTGTAATAAAAATTCGCAGAACCAGATAAACTGTCTAAAAGTTATAGCACTGTAAAATATAAGCTATATTTCATTTTGTGGAAGCTTCCTTAAGAAATAAAAATAAGAAGTGCTAAGAATTTAGTGTAATAATTTGATAGTTTTAAACGTTTATTAAAATGTCAGACACTGGTTATGATAGTGGCGATAAAACGGGTGCATAACATTTCACGACAAAATTTAATTTCTCCGTAAATATTTTAGGTACTCCTCAATCGCATTTTATTGAATTTCACGGTTACTATGATATAAAATTTCCTGTAAGAGTTTTTTCTTTAATTTACATTGAATTTCTGCTTTGTTTAACAAACACAGTTTAAGAAAAATTTTACTTCCTTTATTAAAATAAAGATTCAAAGATAGAATGAGGAAGCATTACAAACAGGTGCACATGAAGAGTGAAACGCCATATTCAGTAAGCACTGAAGTCGATAGAATTCGTAGGTGGGAACCGGTGTTGTCCTTGCGTAATAACGACCCACATTTGTGTCGTTCATCCAGACTGGCACGAATACCAATAACTGCGCTTTGAAGCGCTCATCAGACAGTTTCAGCTAGATATGGAAATACGTTTCGTGTGAACATATGTGGAAATATGTTTTCAAGTAGATTGTGTTTTCTTTTGCTATGTGCATTAAATTTGTACGATTACGGAGCTGAAGCTCGAAGACGACGATACCGAGAATGTCCAGAAGAAAGGTTAAAAATTCGGGAAAGTATGGCTGACGTGGTACTGACAGGTACAGTGAAACGCTTGTACGGTGGTCAGGATGACCAGTACAGTGGGGAAGTACTTGTGAAAAGAGTGGTAAAGGGCGATCATCTGAGAGCCGGGGAATCACTTATCGTTGAAGGATTCGGAAATGAAGATATATGTGTCAGTAATGTTTTAATGAAAGATTCAAAAATATTTCTTCTCAGTCAGCTGCAGACGGGACGTTTTAAGTTAAATTCAAGTATGCTGCAAATCAACATCCCTAACTTGGATAAAGTAACAGCAACTGTTAAAGGTAAACAAATTATATATCCTCTTCATTGGTTTGCGTGATGTTTTGCTCAGTGATTTGGTTTATTCTATTATTATAGAAAGAAAATAGTTATACTCTTGCATAATATAATGTATAGCAACATAATATAATGTAAATTTAAGAGATGCCAAATTGCTAATAATGATGCGTAAATAATAGACATGCTAAACAAATTAAGGTTCTTAATATATGTTATTTCAATAATTCATCGTCTTTTACCAAACATCCAAAGTTGCAAAAATATTCAGTAATTGTTTCAAAGTTTCGATCTCAGTAAAATTTCCTTTTATAGAATAGATATATATCTAAGACAATTGCATATATTATAAGTAAATTGCATTTTTCGTAGATAAAATATTTGTGCCAAAATTTTATTCAAGAAAGAACTGGGGGGGCACTCATTGCATTTTTAGGAATACAAAATCTTTGCGAAAAGGTAACAAATTTCGTTCGAAGGGCGTTTTCCAAAATGTTTGTTACATTTCTTAATTTATGCGATTTTCTGATGAATTTTACTCAAAATTAATCATAAATAAAGTGAGTCAGAATTAATTATTTTAGAGTTACTTATTTTGAAAAACTTGTGAAAAAAAATAACATTTTTCTTCTAAATTAACGTTTAAATTAACAAACGTCCAAGTTTTACGTTTAAATTAACAAAAACCTCAACTATTCTGAGAAGAAAATGCTGTAATGAATTTTTTTTGACTTCATGTTAGGTATACTAACCATAAACATGCAGTGAAATGGAATAATTAGAAGCTGTTGATTCGCTAATAATATATTGCCAAACATAATTGTCAATACTCAAAATGTTTAAAAAATGCACATGGTATTAAGGAAAAAAAGGTATAATTCAAAGACTATACAGATATGTTTTTAACTTCCATTTCATTGCATGTATAGTAATGTACAAAATATGTGTGCAGAATTTCAAGGGATTTTATGCTTAGCTTTTAGAGTTATTATGGTTGCTATGAACACAAAGCATAAAAAAATTATTGAACAGGATGCAAAACAAAAAGATTGATAGTAAAAAAAAAACGGTATGTTAGGTATCTTGTTGCCAAACGAAACGAAAAACTACATAACGAAAATATTTTGTCAGATTTTTCAAACATATTAAAATGATTAAAATTAGTTAATTCAGAAACAACACAGAAAAAGATGAAAACTGAACCTTTAATTTACCTTTAAGCTTTGATTTCTGGTGTGACAGACAATTAATTCTGGTTTGTCGTCTCTAAGAAAAGTTGTTATTATGTCCGCTTGTAATCAGCATATCAAGAAAAAAAAAGTTGAAAAAAAAAGTCTTCCCACTCCTTTCTGATAGCTAAGAATAAGGCTTTTAAAAATATGAAATTATAAAAACATTGAGTTTCCTAGCCAAAATCATGCTTTCGAACGAGTTCCTCTACTTTAGTACGAAAACGAAAGAATGTTTTAATAAAATTTCTGGCTAAGAAGACTAAATTTTTCGTTAGCATAACTTAAAAGTATTCTGTTAATAAATTCATCCATTCAGAAATCTTTGTTGAGCCGCAACCAATAATAAATAATGCTAAAAAAATGCTATCAAAATGTATTAATCATTATACAGAAAAATTTTTACATTTCCTATTACAGTAGAGTCCCGCAAACTTGACTCCCGATATCTCAAAACATTTTAAGAACTTTTTAAAAATATCTCTATGACAAACAGAGCAAATATCGCATACAGTACGAATAATTATTACTTATGTGTATGTTTTTCCTGTTCTGATTAAGGATTTGAGTGTTCTTTTTGTGTAACTTTTGCCGTTTTCGCATTGTGTCATTAATTCTTGAAACTGCCTAACAAATTTCAAGATGTGTTATAATACTTGGCAACGCTGTGCGCTTCTTTCGAGGATCTGAACAAAGTCTAGTAGCGAATGGCCTCTGGCTCACTGTCCTTTCTATTGTTGCGAACGTTAGGAGACTTGTCTGAAGTTTTGTGACTGCATCTTATTGCAACCTAAACTCACACCAGTTCATTGCGGGTATCTATCCTCAATTCACATCCAGGCGTATAAGTTTTAGCATATTTTTGGAATTGTTGATATTCTGTGAGGTGAAAATGTCATTCGAAAAGAAAAGAAAACAAACTAACGTGACAATGGAAATGAAACTAAATGCCTTAAAGAGACTGGGCAAAGGGTGAGTTTAATCAAAAATACCATGGATTTAAAAGGTGTTGGACAGGCTACTTTCATAGGGTTGGAAAAGAAGAGGTCTGAAATCGAGCCTTGGTGTGTGAAAAGAGCATGTACTGATAGTTTAAAGGAAAGAAAAGTATGAAGGTGGTGAATATGAAAAAGTGAGTGAGGCGCTTTATTTGTGGTTCAGGCAAGAAATGGAACAACGAACACCCATTTCAGGTCCAATTTTACAAGAGAAAGCGCTGAAATTTTATAATTAATTTTCAAGAAGGATAGCCTGGATTTACTACTAGTTCTGGCTGGCTCGACACAGGGATAAATAGAAGGGCTAGGTCATTCCTTTGTTCGACTCCTCGCCGACGCGAGCCTCATGGAGGGGGTTAACTGGAAGTAATCTGACGTGTCTGTGCTGCACCTGCTTTGATTTCGCGCTTTTAAAACTGTAGTTTCATTCAGTTGTGACACGATTTTCTGGAGGTCGCATATCCCAAATAAATTTTAATCATACATATTTGTTTTCTAATAATGCAAATATTTTAAATAATTTGTGTATATAAATATATAGTTTTAGTTAGCTTTCCTTTTAAATACTATATTTAAAGTATCTGTTGCGATGTAATGTGAATGAACTCAAAACACGTCCTCGTTTTAAAACACAAACTTATATTAAATAATTGCACAATACAAGTATAAACAAGAAAATGACATATAAAACTTATAAAACGAGAACAGAACAAAAATAGTGAAAAATAGACAGCATTCCAGCTGCCTTGCGAATGCGTTCGTCTGAGTCTGACTGTTCAACTGAATTCAATGTTCTTTGGCATAGTTCCAAATGCGAAAGAGTCAGGTTGAGTTGTTCTGTTCCGGTGCACCGGAACATACTCCCACCCTATCAGGCATTAGTCCTGATATATGGGCAAAGGAGCTAATTTATGAATGTTTCTTTTGAAAAATAGAGTTTTTAGTTTTAACCGTGGCCACACGAACCAGTCCGTCAGCACCATGATGAAGTTCGACCACTTGTCCTAGTGGCCAAGAACCTGGAAGATGACCATCATCTAGTAACAGGACGATGTCTCCAATTTTCATATTCGGCTGAGTGTCCTTCCATTTCTTTCTGGTTTGAAGAGAAGATAGATATGCTTTGGTCCATGATTTGCAGAAGTCCTTCCGCATCTTTTGAAGGAGATCCCACCTATTCCGTATATTGGCAGGACTAGTAAGAGGTAGTTCAGGAGGGGATAGGATCACGTCTCCTGTAAGAAAATGTGAAGGAGTGAGAATATTAATGCAATCAATGTCAGTATTGTTTACACTACATAACGGACGAGAATTTAAAATGGCTTCTATCTGAGCCAATAGAGTTGTCAATTCTTCGAAAGTAAGTAGAGTTTCACCGATTACTCTTTTACAGTGATATTTGGTTGATTTAATTGCGGCCTCCCAAATTCCTCCGAAATGAGGAGATGCTGGAGGTATAAAGTGCCATTCTATTGATGCTTGAGTTAAATGATGAGAGCAACGGCTTCGTTCTTAGGAAGTGAAGCCCACAATCGTTGTATTTCGCTGAGCTTTCGATTAGCCCCAACGAAGTTTGTTGCATTGTCGCTGTAAATGTGACTTGGAGCTCCTCGTCTAGCACTGAAGCGACGCAAAGCAGCTAAAATTGCATCAGCGGTTAAATCGCTGACTGCCTCGATGTGTAGTGCCTTAGTAGCGAGACAAATAAATAGAGCAATGTAACCCTTGGTTGATTTTGCTCCACGACCCTTGTTGAATTTGATTGAAATAGGACCGGCATAGTCCACTCCGCAGTTGAAGAAAGGCCTCTCGAGTGTTACACGATGCTTAAATAGATCACCCATAAGCTGGGATGCGCTGGATGCTTTAAATTTGAAGCATTTTATTAATGAGCTTTTTTCCACCTATGATCCAATATGATTGTTTGATAATGTGGGACAGTAATGACGCATCAGCATGTAAATAGGTCACATGCTTTTCTTTTACGATGAGCTCACTTATCTTGTGTTAAGCAGGTAGAATTACTGGGTGCTTTTGATTAAAGTAAACGCTCTCCCACCCGTAAAAGACTTTTCATCTATAAACGGATGGAGGGAGTGTAGCTGACTTTTCTTAGGCAACGATCTTTGATTTTTAATGCATTTTAGGTCTTCATTAAAATAATCTTTCTGAACCCACCGAATTATGATTATTTCTGCATTTTTAGTTTCCGTGTGTAAGTGAGTGGAGAAAAGGAATCAGTTATAAGTGTTTGACATTTGTTATTGGTTTTGCACTTATTGATGAATCTTAAACAATATGCTAAAATGCGTATAATCTTAGAAAATGATGAATATTTTTTCAAATAAATCACTATATAATTCATTTGATGTAGCACTATGAAATGAAAATATAGGATCAGATCGTTGTTCAGCTTTAATTAGATCCTTGATTTCTTTGGAAGCGGATTCCTCTTTCGGCCAGTGAGACGAATCCAAAAAAAAAGCCAACTTGGGCCATTCCACCACAAGTTGCAATTAGGAAGACATTTGGGATCAATACCACGCGAAGCGATATCTGCTGGGTTCTCTTTGGAAGGGACATGCCTCCAGTATTTTGTTGGAAGTACTTCGATTATTTGAGACGTCCGGTTTGCAACAAAAGTCTTCCATTTACGGGGATGTGCCGAAAGCCAGGAAAGTACGACTTTGGAGTCAGTCCAAGCGTAAAACATCAAACTTATATTTTTTTTGAGAGTGTTCATGACTACACAATATAACTTTGAAAGCAAATGAGCACTGCATAATTCCAATTTAGGAACAGATACGTGTTTGATA